CTAATTCCAATTGACCCATTAAATTTAAGTCACTCCTTCCAGCTTGTCTTCATAGAGTAAAATCTTTTTCTTTAGAATATTTTTCAAGTACTTATAAGCTTCTCTTTTTCTCTAGGATTTCTCAACCTTGTTAATGTCCATGAGGAAAAAAACCCAAACTTGTCCTTTTAAAAGTTGCATATTTTTTTGGAGCTATTCTTTCAATTGTTGGAGGTTTATATTTAAACCATCATAATAGAAATTGGTGTCAGTTTTATATTCCAAAATTGCAATTAACTCCTCTGCATTGTCAGCTACTTGTGAAATTGCCTCAATGGTTTTATAACTTTCTACACATATTTGCATCTCTGAAGTAGTTTGAGAATTTTTTTTAACATCCTTGGAGCATAGCTGATCCATGAACTGAGGGGTTTTATTTAAAGATTTTTCAAATACATCTCTAATAATTTTCTCCTCCATCTTCTTAACTCCCTCTTTAGTCAAAGAGTAGCTTTTTTGTAAGTTACTTAAGAATTGCTGGCCAGTCAGGAATCATAAAAATTGGAAAGTTTTTGCCACCCACAGCAAAGACCAAGCTACAAATTACTAAAAATAATAAACTAGAACAATTTTCTGTCCTTATATTTCTCCATCAACATTTTTTTAAAAAGATACTCCTTATTTTAGCTTGCCTTCAGCAGTCTTCTTTCTTGTTGTTTAACAGATTTCCTTTATCTTATTTTTATCTTTAACAGAATGAATTATATTGAAGGGGAGAAGTTAATATATTTATCTTTACTTTTGCAAGTCTTGATTTTGTCCCTAGTTTTCATTGCCATACTTCATTTTCTTTAAATTTAGTCAATCTCAGGATTCTTAGAAGTTTGTTGAAAATGTATGATAGCAGTACATTTGTTCATTCACAACATAAAATAAATATGCTAACAATTAGTAGTCAATCACAACTCCATGAGTGTGTGGGGTTGTGTATTGTCTATAGAGAGACGGAACATTGTCAAGGATGCTGATCCACAGATAGGCAGATGTTAGACCAGGGGTCGGCAAGCTGAAACACTGAAAGAGCCACTTGGACCTGTTTTTCTCACAAAAGAAAAAAGTGGGAGCCGTATAATACATGCACGCATGCACACAGAACAGGGGGCTTGATTAAAGAGTGGAGCCTAAGGCGAGACTTGCACCAGCTCTGCCCCTCTCCAGTTCTGTCCTGGCTTCTCCTCCCCTTGGAAAAGACTGCTCTCCCCCCACCCCACGCTCTCCCTCTCTGGGACTTTCTTCTTTCCGCCTTTTGGCGCAAAGGTTCCCAGGGAGAGGAGGAGGAGGCTGAAGGGGAGAAAGAGTTGCTACGGCAAATCTTCCGAGTCAGCAGCAGACGGCCGCTCAGGCTCACCTATCTCAGCCTGCTGTGGGAGGCTGGAGTTGAGGCTTCTGGCTCGCTCTGGGAGGGGTGCTCGGAAAAGAGAGGATGAGAAGCAGAAAGTGGGAGAAAGGATGTCTTCCACCTCTCTGGGGTTCTTTCGCTGGGAGGGCGAGGAAGCAGCAGTTCTGCTCCGCAGAAGGTGGGAGCAGGCGGCTTCTCCTTCAAGCTTCACCAAGTGACTCCAGGAGCGAAGCAAAGTCCAAGTCCCCAGAACTTTGTGAAAGAGGGAGGCGGTGATGGGATTAAAATAAAACATGGGGGAGGTTGAGGAAACCCAGCAAACTCCTCTATCAGAGAGTGAACAAGAAAGGCAAGATTGGGGAGAGGAAGAAAGCTTTCGGGGCTTGCCCAGCAGGCAGCTGCTCCCCGCTCTCAGAAATCGCCATGGCAGGCAGGGAGGAGCAACCAGGATTGGAGGAGCAGAAGTCAACACTGCCAAAGAGGAGGAAGGAAAGGAAAAGTGGGGGTCTTTAAATAGTCACGCCCACTTTTCCCCCTTTTTTTTCCAGACATCCACGTGTGTATGGGTGTCAGGTTTGGAAGCCTCCGTTTAAGTATGCGTGTGCACAGACATAGGCTGACTCCTCCTCATCGCCTGCCCTTGTTGCATCTCCTGTGGAGACGCATTTGCGTCTCTGTGTCTCTCTCTGCCACTCAAAGCCATCTCGCAGCTCGATCCTTGAAGCCGTTTCAATCGGCCATTGCTAAGCATCCCCATGGAAGTAAATGGACAGCGTGACTGAGATAGGCAGCAGCCCAGCTCTGGTCTGGGGAAATGAGAGCAGAACGGCGCTGCCTATCTCAGTCATACGGAAGAACAGGCATGTAAACAGCACCAGATGCTGCCGCTGCCACCGGAGATGAGCAGGCTCGGGGAGACACGTGGTCGGCTCAGCTGCCCAGGGATGGCCCACTGAGTGATGCCCCCGCTGGCCACCCCCCTCCCTGCCCAGACTGGCTCAGGGAGACATATGGCTGGCTCGGCTGCCCAGGGAGCAATGCTGGGCCTTGACGAGGCGAAGGGTGGGTAAATGAAATTGTGGGCTATATCATTGGACATGTATACTGTCTGTCAAGAAGGGTCTCCCAAGGCAAAGAGGCCATGATAGATACCCCAGACTAACACCGATAATATCTGCCAACCTGCATTTGACAGATTATGGTCTATTCCTTCCTTCCAGATTAATAAAATATATACATCTGTCTCCTCTATAAAATTACCCAGTTAATTCAAAGATGTATTGTCTGACTGCAATTAAGTATTCTATTATTTAATCCTATATATGTTTATTTGTAAGTAAATTTTACTCCATTGAATGGGACTGAATCTCAACAAAAATAAATATATGAAAGAGATTGATATTAATTGCTTTTTGTTTACTTATTTGAATTAATATATAGAATCTGATTCTAGTTTGGCAGGCACAGCTACATGCTGAGCATTGTATGTAATGCTACAATGATTCCTCCAGATATAATTTGTAATTATTACCAAGGCTAAGATTTCCTTTCCTTTCTGATTCAAACAGCCTGGAAACTTCTCTTAAAAGTTAAAAATAGTTCCTTCAGAGAAATTTTGGAGAAACACAAAATACTGTTTTTATAGAAAATCTACATCCTCATAAGTATTTAATTTCTAAGAGTCATCACCATTCATCTGCTTTTCCTAAAAAAAAAAAAACATAGATTTTTGTCTATTTAAATCTTGAGTTTTTTATTTCTGGCATATTTACTACGAATCTTTCTAAAAAATCTAAATCCATGATTACCATTTAGGCTAAATGTTAAATTAACATTTGATAATTATAATCTTGGTATTTTAAGCACTGATGACTTTATTAAATAGCTAATACTTTAGACCAGTGGTTCTCAACGTTTGTGTGACGGCGACCCCCGTCACACAAATGTTCTGCGCATGCGCGGCGCCGCGTGCACACGCGCGGTGGCACCCCCATGCATGGTGTGCGCGCGCGGCACCACCCCCATGCGCGGCTCGCATGCGCGGCGCCGCCCCCAGAGGGGAGAAAATGGCAGATCGCCGCCTTTGGCGACCCCCGAAAAATGGTCGATCGACCCCAAATGGGGTCACGACCCATAGGTTGAGAACCGCTGCTTTAGAGTGTATATAATGTTCATATAGCAAGGTTTCTGAAACATAGTAAGCCTTTATGATCTTCTCATTATTTGCTTGCAGTGAAAAAAATCACAAAAACAATTTTTCCTCTGGTGTACAAATTTCATCCAGTGGTTTCTCATGTTAAGGGAATCCACCAGCATGAGTTGTACAGTTACTTATCAAACATAGTTTATGTTATGCTTGATGAAGAATTTGACTGAGAAAAATGTAAAACTTACTTTAATAAATCTGATGAAAGAGAAGTTCCCTGTGGATGGGTTCCAAAAACTCAGAAGACTAAATCTGTGGTCCCGATGACCGACCTACATTGAATCCTGCATAGTTTAATAGATCTGTTCTTTATAGCTTGTTCTTGTGGCTCTAAGGCTAGACTTGCTAGATAACAGCTGCCAGTCAATCTAAGTCAAAGATTGCATCATAGGATCAGGAATAATTGCTAATAAATTTTGAAGAGATATGTAAGGTCTTTTTTTTAAAGGAAAGTGTCAAAACTAGTCTAATTGGTGGCATATGAAAAGTTATGTACCCAGTTATTCATTATTCCCCAAGTAAAGCATGATTAGGTGCTATATTACAAAAAATCTAAACTAAACATTACAATTATATGCATAGTTTTAAAGAGCAATTTAACAATTTATTTGGACTGCTCTATAGTAATACATGTAAACTAATAATAGTTTTATTGCATTGCCAGTGTAAATAAAGCTATTTTTCTCTCATTTTATATTTCATGCATGTCTTCCAAAATCTAAAGTATAAAAACTTGGGTAGAAAAAATATGTATAGATAGTATAACCTTTGTATAATTTCTTTAACATATGCATCGTATTTTTTTAAAGATGGTTTAATAATTTATATAAAAATATTTTTTGAAAAGGCAAGTCTAGGAATTTAGAAATCTCTGTTCAGTGTTTTCTGTTATGATATTTAAATCCTTGTCTTCTGATATCCTTTTGATTATTTACTAAGAAGTCTAAGAGCCATGCTAGATCAAAGTTTTGTATTATCTAGCACATGGTTTCTGACTAAAGGAAAGCAAAGCATGAGTGTAGTCTTTCTCTCCCATGTAAGTGCTACAGGATGTGCTGTTTAAAGATGTGTTGTTGTCATGACTGAAAGGTCTTGGCAGCCTTAGATGCCATGATTTTGCCTAATCTTTTGTTAAGCTAACTGGTACAATTAGTGAAGAACATAGCACTTTCTTTAGAATAGTTTTATCCCTTTGCAATTTATCTCATGCACTGGCAGCATTATGCACTTGCTTGCACTAAGTCATGATTTCTACTTTGATCGTATGTAGACATTCTGTTTCTGTACCACAAGCATTTATTTGAAACACTTGTCATAAAGGGCAAATGAGTTCCTCTCCAAAGCCTTTGGAACATGTTGATATTGATTATGAAGAAATAATTCATTCCTACAAAGATCTCCCCCACCTCCCATCAGATCCATCAAATCCACCTGCTCCATCCAATCTCAGGATTGCCAATTCTACAGTAAACAGTGATGGAAGTATAAACATAAGGATTTTTTGGGATGTCCCAGAGGAACCTGATATTCCAGTCCATCATTACAAAATCTTTTGGAGCTGGACTGTGAGAAGCAAGGCTCTTCTCCAAGCAAAAAAGAAGAGAAGGAAGACTACAGATGGAGTAAGTAAAAAAGGAAATAGAATGAGATACTAAAAATATATGTCTCAATTGCTTCTATCTAGTATATTCGATTTTCTTTAGGCTAGAGGCCTTCTAGTCTCTGAACAGCATTTTGAAGAACACTTTGTAAAAGAGGATAGGGGAAATGGGTACTTAAAATATTTTAGAAGTTCATGGCAGAAGGACAAACGTTGAATGAATTACATTTTATTATTTAAATTACTTCCTTGCTAAATTGCTAAAGTGGTTTTATTCAGGCAGGCATTCAAAGTTTAATGGACTGTTGCTGATTTTTCTTATTTTAGGGTACTAGGCTTTATAATGTCCTGTTGTACAAATTGTTTATATGTTTTCATGTTTTTATTGTGTAGAGTCTGGTAAAATTCAGAATGCTAATAAAATAATAATAATAATAACAACAATAATAATAATATAGTTTATAAAATGACCCTTTTTTTGAACCTCAGTAATTAGTAAAGGAGAAATCAACAGTACCCTATTCATTTGATAGAATATGTAACAACTAAATTGTCTCACTGTTAGCATTAGCTCTGTGTTAATGTGGCAAAGACCAATCCATCTCACATATGCTATGGTGCGTACAATGCCCTTCAACATGTATGGAGAAAGACCTCATGTTAGTGAGAGAAAATGCTGTCGACGTGGCCCGATACTGAGCGAATGTCATTTAGTTTTAACCTTATTTATTTTACATATTTTTAAACTTGCTATATTTTTATGACCTATTTTATGCCTATTTTATTTACTCACCATTGAATGTTATATGTCTATCGTTTGCTTCTGACATAAATAAAGTGTTAGCAAAACCATAATTGATTTATGCAACTTAATTTTGTTCCCTTATAGTCTCAAAATTATGTGATCCTTGAACACCTTCAACCCAACAGAAATTACATGGTGGAACTCCAGGCAGTTACATACTGGGGTCAAATACGACTGAAAAGTGCAAAAGTGTCTCTCTACTTTAATTCTACTCAGACAACTATCAACAACAGTAAGTGGTATTTTCCATAAAACAATAGTAAAGTTTCTCTCTCTCTCTCTCTCTCTCTCTCTCTCTCTCTCTCTCTCTCTCTCTCTCTCTCTCTCTTTGGCTAGGAATAATTCTGTCAGACCCTCAATGCATTTTATCCATTTCATTTACTTATGCATTTCATTTTTGGGTACTGCCATTCTGTTGGGAGGGGGGAGGTTTGCTCTGTGAGGGGGGGGGAAGTTCTGCAGGCTCTGGGATGTGTTTCCTTTGCTTTCTTCTATCTTCTTTGAAGTAACTCTCTCTGGGTGTGAAAGGAGGGAAGAATATACCTGCAGCCATCTGCCTTATCTCCAGTCAGATAAAAGAACTGCACATTATCGCCTGGTTCCAATAACATCTTCACACCTATGGATTGGCTAAAATCAAACTGGATGGTTGGACACTGGGGAGGAGTTTGAAAGGGCAGTTTTAATGTAACATTTCACGCAGAAAGAATTTAAATCTTGCCTAGCTTTCCTGCTATCACTAACTCTCAATACAAGTTCCTGTTGAAACAATGCTGATTTCAAGAGTTCTGCTTTCTTGGGAGCAACTTCATAGATGGGGAAATTGTGAATCTAATAATCTTTTTTTGTCTGGGCATGTATAGAAAAATAAATACTAATATTCAGTTCTTACAATATATACATATTTGGAGCTTTTCCAAATATATAAATAAATCATAATTATCACAATGTGAGTTAGTAGTTAAGGACAAAGACCCAAAGTTTTATTTATCCACAACCATGGAAGCTTATTGAATGACTTTTATCCAATCACACTCTCTTAGTCCAAACTATCTCACTGGTTGTGGGGGGGGATGGGAGGAGGGTACACTACATAAACAGCATCTTTGGGTCATGAATGAAAAGTAGAATGTACATCTAATCCTTAAGAAACATATACATCCTACAAATAGAGGAAGTATAAATCTGTATGTATTTGGGAGATAGTAAAAAATGCCAGATATTTTGGTATTTGTGACATTAAGCAAATTAATGCATGTCTTCTGGATATATCTCATTTTTCCCTATTTAAGTACACTGGGAATATTCTACTGTAGAGTGTTAGGATTAATGCTAGTTAATGTTAAATATTTTATTTCCAAGGACTTGCTAGAGGATTACAAAACAGAGTTAAAAATATATCATATTTTGTTTCCTTTAGTGCTTGCTATGTGCACTGATACCTCTCATCTAATCTCTATATACATATTACAGCAGGGTAACTGAAACAAACTCCTTTTTTATAGTTACCAATTTCTGTTTCCTGCTGCAGATCATATTCAACTTATATTCAGATAAAACCTTTGTTAATCAAGGTCCAATTACCCTGATTTCTACATGTATGAAAGTTTCATCAAATTACATTCAATTGAAGGGCACCCTTTCTTTCCTGTTACACAATTAATCTTTGATTCATTCTTTAAGCTGCTTTAGAAAATGCAGAATTATTTTCACTTGTTTAGAATAGAATAGAATAGAATAGAATAGAATAGAATAGAAATATTTGACACTGCTTGACAGTTTTAAAGCAGTGCTTCTCTTCTGTGCTTTGCTTTAATAATTAGCTTATGAAAAATTGATAATACACATTATCTGAACTATGTTTGGTAAATTAGGAATATTAATGCATTAATTCAATATTATAACATGAACATTTCAATGCAATTTTTCCTGCATTGTTTAATAATAGATTATTCTCTTTTCATCACTAAACCTAGTTTAAAAATATTGTTTTAGGACTGTAATATTCTTTTCTATTTTTCCAAAAATAGCTACAATATGACTTCATCTTCACTTTTAGTGTATTCTACTTCACATTATTCAATTTGTATTTTTGTGCTGGCTCTTATTGATAAAACATTCTACTTTATTACTCTTTTGATTTGGTTGGCTTTGGATGCATTGTCAGTAATAGCTACATTATTAAAAACTTGTTTTTGATTTTTTTAAAATGTTGAGTTACTATGATGAATTCAGAAGTACTGTATTTCATTATTGTTTTGTAATTAATTATTAATTAATAAATTATAATATTAAGTATACATTATTGTTTTATTATTAAATTATTAGTTTGGTTGTATTGATTTTTGAAGAATATATTCAGAACATATCCAGTAAGATTAGATAGGATCCATCTTGCATTCAAGATGGAGAGTGCTTAATATTCATATGTTATGTATATGTAGGTGTAGGTCTATACATATGTTATATATAGTATGCATATGTTGTATATAGTATGTTTACTTTGACAGCGGGCAACTAAATTTCATTTTTGATGTGTGTCATTGTGTCCACAGTAAAAAATGACAATAAAGGTTATCTTATCTCATCATTCAAAATATTTAAAATTTAATATTCTTTGCATAACTATGTTCTATAACCATTGCTGTTACTGATAGTACAGTTTTATTCAGAGACTGATGTATGTTCAGCTTGAAGGTTCAGCTGCATTGGACATCCTCAGTTATCTATAGTGTAATAATCTTTTCTTGACCTGAATACAATGCTATATATGTGGGACTATCTTTGAAAATAGAATAGCTAGGTTACCAGCTAGGATTGATCATATTGTATTTTAGCAAACAAAAAAATTTGAAAATGCCTAGATATTCTGAAACTAATAACTTTCTTTTAGAATTAGCTGCCAATAATTGGCAAAGTTATGTTTTCTCCTGTTTTATAAATAAATATTAATTATTGTTCCTTTTATTGTATTTTTATTCTTTTTATTTGTAATCCAGTGATCTCTTATTAGATGCATTTAAAGTATCATTTGAAACACTTTGTTTATACAGCCACCATGCAACTGGCAACTGGCAAATTTTCAGAAATATTTTCTTTTACAGAAGAATGGATATCTACCATTGGTAAAGCTAGTGATGTTTCATTCTTCAAAGGAAGTAGACTTAATCATCTTCTTGAAATTGGAGTACCTTTTTTCCAAGATGACCAACTTCAAGTGAAAGTCTACTGGAAGAAAACAGAAGGTAGATGCAAAACCATACTTTACCTTCCCTAAATAATTTGTTGGTTATTAATAAACTTTGATTCAAATAGCTTCCTGGTAATTTTAGATATACAAATAGAGAAAGTCTGACTGCTTTATGATATACTGTTGGCATTTTTAAACATTATAATTAATATGAGCTATTATTTATTATTTAAGTTAATGTAGAAGCAAAGGTTTCCAACTTTTTCCTAAGCATATATTTGGAGGAGAGTAGAAAAGAATCTTGCTTACAGATATGCATTCTGTTTAGTATTAATTTGCATATGTATACATCATCAATCTGACCAAGAGTTACAGTGCCTTTTTATATAGTGTTGATTTGACCTAGATGCTGTTGTTAAAGTTTTTTTTCAACTTTCCAACCCTAATAATAATAGCAGTTTTATGTTTCTGATTTTTGCTTCCTCAGGGGTTCTGACTAATAAATACAAAGGGGGAAAAAATGTAGAAGTAGGTTAAGGATCTAAACTAAGCAAAGCAAATCTAAAGTTGATTGAGCTACTATGACTGTTCAGTGGTATTTATTTCAAAACTGTTGGCAATACCACCCTCCTTATTACATCCATGCAGGCAGCAACTCTCTTGCAGCAATGGAGATGGCATTGGTGGGCATATTAACTAGAATCAAAAGCAATATAACCAAAGGAAAGGAAAAAGCTGTGTTTGCTTACCACCACCATTATCACTGATTCAAGGAAGTTGCTGACTCATTGAGAAGACAGGAAGACATGTAATGAAGCCTGCTATAGGAATGGAACCAACCATTTTCCTTATTAGACTGATACCACTTTCTTTATAAGACTTTCTGGCCATGCCCTCTTCTGTGTCCACCTGTATCCTTGAGTTACCTGTGCCGTGAGTTAATAAGATTTTGGTGAAGAGAAAATGCCATTTGAACTCTAATATACTGAATAAAGCAGGGCTTGTGTTGATACCGTTTCTCAATGTTTGATCAAGAGCACTTATTTCTGTGAATTGCATAAGCAATTCCAATACTTGCTATCAATCTGGATAAACATATAGGACTATGGATAAAACAAGCATGTGGTCCTCAATGGAACTGCATCTACATGGAGGGAACTGTGTAGTGGGGTGCCCCAGGGCTCTGTTCTAGGCCCAGTGCTCTTCAACATCTTCATCAACGATTTGGACAAGGGGATAGATGGGGAAATCATCAAATTTGTGGATGACACCAAGCTGGCAGGAATAGCCAACACTCCAGAAGACAGGCTTAAGATACAGGAGGACCTGGACAGACTTGAACACTGGGCTCTATGTAACAAAATGAAATTCAATGGTGAAAAAAGTAAGATTCTACATTTAGGCAAGAAAAACCAAATGTACAGGTATAGTATAAGGGATACCTTGCTCAATAGTAGTAACTGGACAATCACTTAAATATGAGCCTGCAGTGTGCTGCAGCTGCCAAAAAAGCCAACACAGTGCTGGGCTGCATTAACAGAGGGATAGAATCAAGATCACGTGAAGTATTAATACCACTTTACAATGCCTTGTAAGGCCACACTTGAAATACTGCATCCAGTTTTGGTCACCACGATGTAAAAAAAAATGCTGAGACTCTAGAAAGAGTACAGAGAAGAGCAACAAAGATGATTAAGGGACTGGAGGCTAAAACATATAAGGAATGGTTGCTGAAATTGGGTATGTCTAATTTAATGAAGAGAAGGACGAGGGGGGACATGATAGCGGTGTTCCAATATCTCAGGGGTTGCCATAAAGAGAGAGTCAAGCTATTCTCCAAAGCGCCTGAAGGCAGGACAAGAAGCAACGGATGGAAACTAATCAAGGAGAGAAGCAACCTAGAACTAAGGAGAAACTTCCTGACAGTTAGAACAATTAACCAGTGGAACAACCTGCCTCCAGAAGCGGTGAATGCTCCAACACTGGAAGTTTTTAAGAAGGGACTGGACAGCCATTTGTCTGAAATGGTATAGGGTTTCCTGCCTGAGCAGGGGTTGGACTAGATGACCTCCAAGGTCCCTTCCAACTTTATTATTATGGATCATCGCACAGTCAGCCAGATGTTCAGACTGGATTTGGCATTTTGTCTACCTATCGAGTCCTTACCTAGGACCTGGGATAGGCAGATGTGGATGTTTGATGGTATTACAGATATCGTCGCAGGATGGAAACAGTTCCTAGTAAGGCTGCCTTTTGCAATTGACTAATAGCGAATTTGTCAATGCCAATGGTGTTCAAGTGGTGCTCCAGTTGTTTTGGGATTGCACCCAAGGAGCCTATGACTATTGGTACTACCTTGCTTGCTTTTGCCACAGTCTTTCTATTTCTATTTGTAGGTCTTTGTATTTTGTTATCTTCTCCAGTTCTTTCTCTTCTATTCTGCTATCTCCAGGCACTGCCACATCCACTATCCAGACTTTTTTGTCTTTCTTATCGACAATTGTTAAGTCTGGGGTGTTATGTTGCAGGTGCTTGTCTGTTTGAATTCTGAAGTCCAGAGCAGTTTAATTTGATCATTTTCTATGACTTTCTCTATTTTATGATCCCACCAGTTTTTGCTTACAGCAAATGATATTTTTTGCAGATCTTCCAATGCACCATTGTTGCTACTTTGTCATGCCGCTGCTTGTAATCAGTTTGTGCAATCTTCTTGCAACAGCTTACCAAGTGGTCCACTGTTTCTTCAGCTTCTTTGCATAGGCGGCACTTACTCTCTGTTGCTGTCTTCTCAATTTTGAATTTATATGCATTTGTCCTTAAGGCTTGGTCTTGTGCAGCCAGAATTAGTCCCTCACATTGGCTGACTGAGTTACCACATGACTCTTCCTGCTCATGAATATTATAATAATAATAATAGTAATACAAGTACATCAGATGGTTGAAGAAGAAAAAATGGCTTTGGAAGAATATCTGAAGAACAATGATGCATATGCACTGAAATTAGTATATCAGGAAGGCTTACTGACTACTGGAGAGACCGAACTGACTTACAAGAAAGACCAAATAAAGAACAGAATAGAGGCATGGGAAGACAAAGCATACATGGCCAATACATTAAAAAAATAGCTGGGAAAGCAGATAATAACAAGACCTGGCAATGGCTAAGAGCAGGAAAATTGAAGAAAGTGCTACTGAGTCTGTGCAAAAGAACTGCTACATTTGTGGAGCAAAGACACATTTGAAAAGGAACTGTTTGCAAAGGAACTGTTTGCAGCACATTTGTGCAACCAAAAGGGATTGATTTGCAAAAGGAACATTTTGGTGTTGCAAAAGTTTGCTATAGCAACAACAGAGACAAGTAGCTAATAGATAGTGGGGCAAGTCAAACAATTGTTAATGACTCTGAATTATTTTGCAGGTTTGTTCCAGTAGCACAAGAAGTTGTGGCTTTGGCAAATGGCCAGAAAGCAAAAGTCATCGGAAAAGGCGATGTAAAAATTCCATATTTGGAATCAAAGTTTACCAATGTGCTTTGTGTACCTGAGATGGAACATATTTTGTTAAGTGTGTCTAATTTAGACAAACAAGGTTTTGAGATCATTTTTGTAAATGGGAAGTGTCTCATCAAAAGGAATGGGAATATTTGTGCAGAAGGCATAAAGGAAGATAATCTATATGTATTGCAGGGACAAAAGATTCAATGTTCCCATATATTTAAGAATGTTGCAGAGCATGATTCATGTGTTCATCTTCTGCATAGAAGACTTGGCCATGCACGCTTTAAAGTTTTGCAGCAAATGCAAGATTTTGCAGAAGGGCTAAATTTGAAGGGATGCAAAACATATTTGGACTGTGCAGTATGCAAAGCATCGAAGTCAAAGGCATTCCAAGTTAGTAAATGTAGCACAAGACAAACAAAAAGAGTTCTAGAGCTGGTCCATGCAGATCTGGTGGGACCTATGCAAGCCAGTTTGGGAGGAGCAAAATATGCACTGGTAATTGTTGATGATTATAGCAGGTATAGTTTTTGCTACTTGCTTAGAGGAAAGACAGTGGGTAAATTTTGTAGAGAGAAGGTACAGACAAAAAGTGTGTCAGTTGCAAACTGACAGAGGTACTGAATTTATGTCAACTAAATTCAACAATGGTTGGGTTAGTTGGGGATAAGACACAGATGTATAAATCCTTACACAGCAGCAGAGAACTGTGTAGCTGAAAGAAGGAATGGTGTTTTGCAAACAATGAAAGATTCATTATTAGAGGATTCTGGTACGAGCAAGTCATATTGGGGAGAAGCCATATTGACTGAACAAGACATGAAACCAGAAAGAATTGAGACACAGGAGCAGTTAATACCATGTAGGTCAGAGCGATGTAACAAAGAAATTCTGCCTGACAGGTATTCTGCCAGCAAGGTAAAGGTTTGCAATGTGTGGTATGAGCCAAGAAGTTATAAAGAAGTGTTGGCATTACCAAAAGCTGAACAAGAAAAATGGAAGGAGGCCATGGATAAAGAGATGAAATCCATGGGAGACCATGAAGTATTTAAATCAGTGACTTTGCCACAGGGAACCAAAGCTGTGGGTTGTAAGTGGGTATATAAGAAAAAGGTATTGCCACATAATGATGTACAGTTGTTGCAAGATTTAAATATTAATGTAAAAGAATCTGTAAAGGTATTTGAAGACAATGCTGCCTGTATAAAAATGGCAACTGGTGACAGGGTGAAGAAGAGAAGTAAATATGTAGACATTAAGTATTGTAATGTCAGGGAAGCTGTAAAAGGAAAATTGATTAGTTTACATCATTGTTCTTCTGAGGATAATTTGGCAGACATGATGACTAAACCATTGGGTAGTGTTCACTATGGAAAATGTGTTAAGTCAATAGGTCTGATGTCTCTTCCTGTCATGAAGGGAGGAGTGTTGGAATATTCATGAGCAGGAAGAGTCATGTGGTAACTCAGTCAGCCAATGTGAAGAAAGTGCTACTGAGTCTGTGCAAAAGGTATTGAGTTAGAAGCTGAATTTTCAGTCTCAGGTTTGTCTCTGTATCTCTCTGTAAGAAGTCTTCATTTGTGCTATGTTGCTGTAAAGAAGAATGTATGATATTGTAAATATTTTGATATAAATATAAAGAAGTTATTTTGAATCAGCTAAATGCAGTCAACTATGAGAGCTTCTGATTTATTTTTTCACCAATAGAGAAATTAAAATTCTCTAACAATTATTACTACTACTACTACTACTACTACTACTACTACTACTACTACTACTACTACTATTGTTATAATAATAATAATAATAAAATCAGTTTATCTTTGTTAATCAATTATAGAGGCCTTTTGTTCTTTGTTTCAGGTACAAGGCTTCTCTTGACAGATCAGTCAGAATCTTAATGTGTCTAGGAAATAATTAACTATATTAAAAAGAAAATGGTAGTTAAGTGACCTGTAGAAGATTCTCTATGGGAGACTAATATTGCTGTATAGATAACTCAAGAAGTGGTCTAGCCATGGCCTTTGATGGTCAAGATGAAAAAAAAATGCTGCCATGTAGGATCTTAGAGTTGATGTGAACATCAGTTTCCTATTGCAACATTTAGGTACTGGACATACCATCTGAAGAAAAATAGAGCATAGTTATAGTCTCAGAACTCCCCTCCCCCCCACAATTTTTAGCTTGATCATGGCCTTTATGTTTCTTTGTATGCATACAGATTATTGAATAGCAAGACTGAGTCATAAGTCATCTCTGATGCAGAGACTATTAGCAATAACACATGGGAACAGCCCCAGCACAGTTATATAGGATCATATTTGTATAGGCAAAGATTTGTATTAGTAGTGTGTACTTAGATCTGTGTTCTAAACTTACATTTTAGTTCAGCATAGCTTAAGATATTTTATTATTTTTTCAAGAATAATGTAACATCTTGACATAATAATTCATTCACAATTTTCTGTTAAAAAGGACTTTTGTATTGGGTTAGCCTTTAATCAGTAGAAATTGTGCTTGGTTTGGTCTCAGATTGTCTATTCTTCCTACATCTTAAACAATTATCAGTGAACTTGGCATCTGAATAACTTATTTTAATATTTGCCTAGTATAAATCAAAATACATTTAGGTAAGATAAGAAAAAGAATCTTGAAATATATGAGATAAATTACTTAAAATGGATTGCTTGGTAAAAGTAGACAGAATAAAACAAATATTATGGAAAACAAACAAAAGTGCTACTGAAGGTTTTTGCATAAAAAAAAATCTGTGATATTGCTAGCTTGCACTCCTTTTGGGTTACTCATTGTATGCATTTGAGCAGAGCCAATGTAGTTAATTGCAAATAAGTGTAGGCATTTACTATAAACATCAGTGTTTAGTTTAATATGATTGCTATGGCAGTCTACATTTTAAATGCAGTGTATTTTCACGAAGTAAATTATATCAATTATTTTCTATCATGACTATCATGCCTTCTTAATTTGTATAAGCAGGCCAGACTTACCTTGCTCCAAATCTTGTTTGCTGCTGCCCCTGATGCTTTGAAACCTGAACATGAATTAAGTATAGATAAGTAAAGATGTCAGCCTGGCAACTAAATGCAGATTAATCTGGATGATTGTGTTTCCCATAGCTATGGGGGAAAACTAGAAAGGAGGAATATTGAAAGAACTTTCATGATTTTTTTAAAGCAAATTAGTAAAATCACTTGCAGAATTAGATGAATATTAGTAAAATGGTTAATTTATCTTTTTTTGTTCTCTCCTTTTACATATTTAGATTATCTAAATGTGTAGCATTCTGCCATAGATTTGTAATCACTCTGTAGTATATTATTGTGTCCATTTTTCTGCACTTTCCAATTCCACTTTTCTGTGGACTTTTAAAATTGCAAATTCCATTCTCCTGTGTGATATTTTAATGGTGCAACACAGCTGCATAAAAACTGCTACACCAGATCAACTTGAGATCTTTGAAATTTGCTCAGACTAACTCTCAATATTCTAAAACAGTGGTGGTGAACTTATGGCACAGGTGCCAGAGGTGGCACTCAGAGCCCTCTCTATGGGCACATGCGCTGTCGCCCCAGTCCTAGGCCTTCAGCTGAGTTTTATAAAACCTTTTCATTTTAGGCCTTCGCTGCCATGCGCAAAAAAAAAAAGGTTCAATCAATCAGTCAATTTCAACTTCTCGTGGGAAACACCCACCCAATGAGCCACACTCTCCCCAATTGGCCACACCCAGCCAATGGGCCACTCCCACCCGGCACCTGATGATGCATAAGTGGGTTTTGGGTTGCAGTCTGGGCACTCGGTCTCTAAAAGGTTCTCTATCACTGTTCTAAAAGGTATATCCATATTCATTTTATACATTTTTCCTATAAATGATAAATATGTCCAGTATTGTATGTGTATCTTTGCATGAACTATTCCAAAAAATCAAAAACTTTAAATGTAAGCTTCTATTAATTTTCTCCTGTTATGTTATTTCACTGATAGATGCCATCAGCAGGGAAGGATATCATGTTCAGTGGTTCCCAGAATTATGTTCTTACAACAATACCGAAGAGCTTGAAAAATTCAATGATGTAACATATGTAAGTTAAGTTTTAAGTATCAAAAACTGTAAAAGATATGATCCTATATTTTGTGAGGAAGTGTATAAATGATCTTTAAAGATCCCATTATCTTCCCCTTTACATCTCCAATACAAATTTATTCTATGCTTCAAAGCATTCATTTTGTCCTTTGTAATGAACAGTTATTGTGACTTCAGTTCCTTGGAGTCTTCCACATGCATTTGGCTGCAGTTCCTATAGATTGAGTATGGCCATTAGCTCTGTTGAATATGCATTATGTGACTTGAAGCCTTTGAAGTGGTCTATGTTGAGGAAGGCTGGTTGATCTAGTTTATTTGTTGTCTTCTGTTGTCCATTTCTGTCATCCCTCCCTTCTCCAAGAGGGACAGGAATGGATCGGGCAGGACATGAACAGCAGGGAGATCGGCAGACTGAGGGGGTAGACAAACTACCTGAGAGAGGAAGGTTGATAGGAAGGCATGATGGGAAACAGGAACAGCAGGTAGACTGGCAGAAGAGGAGGAGAGATAATTTGGAGAAGGGAACAACAATAGGAGAGGATGATGGCAGGCAGGAATGGTACACAAGTAGGCAGGTTAGGGAAAGGGAAAAATTGGAGAAGGGAGGGATGACAGGAATGGACAACAGAAGACAAAAAGGGTGTATGAATCGGCAGGTTAGGAGAGGAGGGGAGTTGGAGGAGGGAGATGAGATAGGAACTGGCAATGGAACACAAAAACGGCAGGTAGACCAGCAGCCCAACAGGGAGAATAAAAAGGAGGAACTCCGTGACAGGACTCGTGTGGTGTCGAATCGGAGGAGGCACCTTGCATTGGGTAGAGAGGAGGGATTGAGGAGTGTGTTGGTAATAACAGCGCAGGGAGGAGGAGGCGGTACAAGGATGACAGAGCAGAAAAATACAAAATTGGAGTGCAAGAAAGAGAGGGCGGAACAGTTAAGGCAGTTACAGGCAATCAGGAAGAGTGGCCCTGTCACGAGGGCAACGAGTAGGCAGCTGGATCAGCAAGGGGATAAAAAGAACTTTCCCACCCCCTAAGCTCCACTCTGAGGACGCTGGCAGAGGACCAGCGTAAGCTAAGTTATTTTAACCTTGTATATAACTGTTTTTTATTGTTTTTAAACAATAACTGGTTATTTATTTTAAATAAATAACTGGAGTATACTCTTCCCGGAGATCGAAGATTGCATCATTGAACAATTTTAAATATGTAATTATATAAGGCATTATAAGGAGACGTATTGCTTCAGTGTGGTTCTTACCAATTATGGTTATTTCAAGAAGCTGAGACTGGAAGAGAATTGTTCCATCTTTTGTTTGTGGTACAAACTGATTTTGTAGGATTAGGTAGAACAAGTTACATTCTTTCCATAAAACTGATGCAGATTTTTGTATATTTTCTTCTGTCAACTTTTACAATTTATTTAAATCCATTTAAGCCAGTTAGAAAATCCTTATTAATGGTAATCAGAAACTTTTCCTGAGTTGTGCAATGTTATATACAGTATAATTCTCCATGAAATAAAATTTTGTGTTTAATTCTGAAGTATGCTTTTAAAAAAATCAATGATTGTTTTCTTGCACTTTATTGGATTAAATTATCCAATATAGTTTATTTTTTTTATTCCTTTTTACCAAATAAGACACTTATTTGTGCAAGCTTTTGGATAAAGAATTTACTGTCCACCCATGTGGTAGTGGAATTCATATTGAAATACACTACAATTTGCAGTTCTATTAAAATATGTGGCACATTTTTTTTCCTTTTCAACTTGTGCCATATTATGAAATTTCCTCTATATGAAGTTATCCAGAGATTTGGGCTGAATGTGTTGCCTTCAGCTCTACCTATTTCATCACCTATTTCATCTTCCTATAATAAATAAATGATATATGAACATATCTGCATATTTTGTAAGCTGTCTTTTTCTCTAAAAATGTATTTTTGCATTGATTGCTTGGAAAATATTAAATTTAAACCCAAAAAGAGGATAATAAAATGGTTTATGTCTCTCATAGGAAAACTATATAATTCTTCAGAACCTGTCCTTTTCGTGCAAGTATAATGTTACAGTTCAGCCAGTAAGATCCATTGGTCAATTGAAATCTGAAAGCATTTTCTTTATGACTCCACCTTGTTCTTATCTAAAAGGGAAAAAACACAAGCATGTAAGCTGTGTGGCTAAAGGAGGTAAGATCCAAACAATTATAGTGAAATAAAATGCTTAAATAGCTAAATACTCAAACACCAGCTTTTAAAATGGATTGCTTTCATCATTATATGAAGAGCTTTAAAATTCTTAATGTAACAATTTACAAGTATTAGTATTGTAAATGCAGATTAATTAATATGAATAGAAAATACAAAAGAAACAACCACAAGTTTAATTTTCTTTGTAATCTGAAAGTCACTAAGTTAGAAGTTCTCAATATGACCTTCATTACTACCTCCTTTTTACACTACATTAAATAAAATCATTTTACAAGTTTATATGTGACAGAAGAATACAGTGTAGGCATTAGATAAATCAAAACATTACACATTTGTATGCTTTTTTAAAAAAAACTGATAAGATGTGATCAGTGGTGGAATTCAAATATCTGAACAACCAGTTCTCTTATTCAATGCAGGCCTAGGCTTCTGAGGCCTAGAACTGATTTCTGGAAGTGGCATCATGCACTTCCGGGGGCCGTTCTAGGCCTGGAAGGCCTCCTCCAGGCCTCTGAAGCCTAGACTGGACTTCTGGAAGCCAGCCGGTTCTACAAATGCAGCAAAATATAGCTACCGATTCTATTGAACCGGTGCAAACTGGCTGAATCCCACCACTGGATGTGATGCCTTTCAAATAAGTCTAACTATTTCCAAACATTCTATATTTTCTTTGATAGGTCACATCTCTTCAGAAAATTTCTTTAGATAGAAAAATTGTTAGTTTACAGCTTTCCAGTGCAAAAATAACCCCCCAAAATAAGCACACATTCAAAATGAGCGGGAGGCATAGTTTAGAAAATTTTTATCTATAATATATATAGGCTGGATCACATGACTCACACAGCCAATACTATGTCTTAATCAAAAACAGCTCTCATTGGCTGGTTTGTTGCTATGGCTGTTCCAGTTCATAAAATTTCTTATACACTGACAAAATATAGTATTGTAAATAGTAGTTTCAGTTCTGGTACCACAAATTATCTTAACGTTTGTTAAAATGTTTACAATAAATAATACTAAAATGCTGTCAAATATTCTCTTTTTGAGGGAGTCACATTAATGTGGAATAATAAACAATCACTAGAATAATGATGTGTCTGCATAATTACTAGAATAATGCTGTGTTAGTAGTATGTGAAATGCGCATTGCACTTGGATACAATGTTTGTAGCAAACTCTCTCCATTGTATACCCATGAGAAACGAACCTAATGTATTACAATCTGTATTCCTTTGTTCCTAAGAAACAGAAAGTATAAAACTGAAGTCTGAACCCGCTCTCGGGGTTCAGAATTGCTAGTTGCTATTGCTTCTGAACCTGCGCAATAAATCTCTCTGCTAAAACCCTCTGGAATTCGTAAGAGTCCTTTTGTTTTTCACAAGATTTCTGGCAACTCCACCGGGACTCTTAGGAAGAGGCCATTGACCTTCCAGATGGACTGCCCTGGTGGGTAGCCCCTCTCCTAACAATGACTCCTCCAAGCCGGCTCTGTGGCCTTTGTCTATGGGGAGACCTCAACGGGACAGGAGGGGAACTCACCCGCCAGCGAAGCACTCCAGTCAAGGATCCACCGAGGGTAGCAGACGGGTCTTTAATCCGCGGAAGGGTCCTGGAACACCTGCAGGCAAGTATTATAAAAGGGGATACCTGATCCCATTTGGATCGGAAGAGGGGATTGATCACTCCCTAGAAGACAAGACGGTGTCCTTAAGTCTTCAATAGGTAGGATTGTGTGGGTGGTTAAACCATCGCATTTCCTGAAGAGTGACCGTTGGAATGTCTGGCACTCCAGGTCGGTGGTAGTGTGTTAGGGAGAAACCAGACTAAGAAGGGCGTTGGTCAGACGCCGCTTCAGTGTATGTTAGGAAATTTCAAAAAGGGTTTTTCTAGAGATTATGGGGACCCATGACCAAATCCAGCCATGTTAAAAAGATTCTGTGAATCTGAATGGACCACCTTTGGCATAGGGTGGCCCAAAGAGGGATCGGCGAATCCCGAACTCGTGGCATGGGTTCATCAAATTGTGACTGGAAGTGGTCATTGGGACCAATATCCCTATATAGACCAATGGCAGATCAATATTGAAGAAAAGCCTTGATGGTTAGCAAAGTGTCAGATAGAATGTGCTAAAATATATTTGGCAAACCAAAAAGCCAAACCTCAGACAAAAGCTAAGATTTTGAGCCAGGAAGAAAGGGAGGAAGTTGCCAGGCCCCTGCCCTATGTTCCTAGAAGAGAAGAAGGGGGGATATATCAGCAAATTCCACCCCCTCCGGTTGAAAGAAATGAAGTCCACCTTCAACCAGAAGTCGGTGTGAAAAGAAAGATAAAAAAAGAACCGTTCAGAAGAAAGATCAGGACTTGGATAGTGATGACAGCAAAACATTAGTTTCTAGTCAAACTAGAAGTAAAACGAGGGTAAAAACAGAAGAAATGATAGCCCCTCTAAGAGAAGTTTTGGTCCCTGGACCAAACAACACCAATATTCCGATGCTCCAGTATGTTCCCTTTACAACCACTGATCTACTCAATTGGCGTTGGCAATATGGACCATTTTCAGAAAAACCTCAAGTAGTAATAGACCTATTCTCCACCATTATTCAGACGTATAATCCCACATGGGATGATACGCAACAACTTATTTCTACTTTACTGGATATGGAGGGGAGAGAGAAATATAGGTTAGGAAAAATTAAAAGTACTTGCCCGCCAACACCCCAATGGGGGAGCGAATTATCAAGCAAACCGAGATACCGAAGCAGTAGAAGAAAGACCAGACTGGAATGCTAACGATGGACAACACCAAACTTTGTTGCAGAGTTATCAGCTTTTGTGTTTAGAAGCCCTGAGAGAAGCTGCAATTCATCCAGTTAATTATGCTGCAGTAACTAGTATTTGGCAAGATAAAAATGAGTCACCAACCACTTTTCTTAGCCGACTGATAGAAGCTTATAAAGTAAACACAGGTCTTGATATGGAGGTGGCACAAAATTGCCCACTCCTAATTGAAAGATTTATCACCCAAAGTGCCCCAGACATAAAGAAAAAGTTACAACGCACAGAAGGGGCATTAGGGAAGAATATAGCAGAAATCATGGAAATAGCTCAGAAGGTGTTCTATAACCATGAAAAGGAAGAATAACGTAAGTCAGATCAGAAAGAAAAAAGGAAGGTTGAAATGTTAGCAGTGGCCTTGGGGGGAATGCGTATTGGACCCAATCAATGTGCCATCTGTAAACAGGAAGGACACTGGCAAAGGGAGTGCCCCCAGAGGAATGGCCAACCTAAGGGACAATCTCGCCAGTATGGAAGAGGATGAGGAAGAGGACTTAGAGGGACTTTCCAAAGAAGTTGTAAGGGAAGCTTCAGGGGAAGAGGGCATCCAGCCTATCCCAGTCAGATGGAAGAAAGAGAAGAAAACATGATCAGCTTATCCGACATAGAATGGGGAGACTGAAGAGGACCGGGTTCTATGGTCCCACCCCCAGAGCCCATTGTTAAAATACGGGTGGGAGGACAGATTGTCCTAATGTTTGTTGACACGGGAGCCACCAGATCAGTCCTAAATAAATCTATTGGCAAGCCATCAAACCAGACCATCCAAATTCAGGGAGTATCTGGAGAAACTCAATTTCGACCACTCCTGGAACCCCTAACATGCCAAGTGGGACAAGGAATCATTAAACATCAATTTTTATATGTCCCAGACTGTCCAGTCCCATTATTGGGGAGAGACTTGCTAAATAAGTTAAAAGCAACTATTTCCTTTGTCAATGGGAAGCAATTAATTGAAGTGCGCCACCCAGTGGAAGAAATATGGTGCTTGATGATAGTGACAGAAGAAGTAGTAGGTACTAAGTGGCAACAATTTAATGTCCCACTCCTGTGGGCAAAGGATAACCCCCCTGGATTTGCAAAATATGCCACGTCCGTTATGGTGGAACTAAAACCACAAGCATATCCTGTTAGAGTGCCACAACAATATTGTACTTTAGAGGCTGCTATTGCCATTCAAGAATTAATCCAAAAATACTTGATAGCAAAAATCATTAGAAAAATTCAGTCACCCTGGAATACTGCAATTCTACCTGTTCGTAAGCCTGACGGACAGTGGAGACCAGTGCAGGATCTCTGCCCCATTAATAAATTGACCTTAACCCTACACGCGACTGTTCCTAATCCATATATTCTTTTAAGTACAATACCTGCATCCGCTAAATGGTTTTCAGTTGTGGACTTAAAGGATGCATTTTTCACCATACCTTTAGCGAGAATTGTCAGCCGATCTTTGCATTTGAATGGGCTAATCCAAAGACACAAGTTAAGACTCAATATACCTGGACTAGGCTACCACAAGGCTTTAAGAATTCACCTACGTGTTTTGGTCAAGCTTTAGCCCAAGATCTTGCATATTTGAAGTTAGTCAAACAAGAGGACTGTTGTCTTCAATATGTGGATGATGTTCTGATAACTGGACAAAACAGGGAGGATTGCTTTGAAAACACATCCAGACTGCTCCGAATGTTACAAGACTATGGCTACAGAGTGTCCAAAAAGAAAGCACAATTAGTTCAAATGACTCTAATGTATTTAGGCTATGAACTATCAGAAGGACAAAGAACTCTGGGCCCCCAGAGAAAGCAAGCTGTGTTACAGATTCCCATCCCCAAACAAAACAAGAAGTTAGAGCCTTTTTGGGAATTACAGGCTTCTGTAGAATTTGGATTCCTAACTTCGCTCTCACAGCTAAACCATTGTACCAAGTTTTAAGAGGACCAGAAAAGGAACCCCTTTTGTGGCAACAAGAGCAGACCCAAGCAATGAAACACCTTCAACAAGCTACAGCACCGGCTCTAGGACTACCTGATATATCTAGGTCGTTTTCACCTGTTGATGTGAGACAGAATGTGGCTTTAGGGGTCCTTACCCAAAAGCAGGGAAATTGGAATCGCCCAGTTGCTTATCTGTCAAAACAGTTA